TCAGAAACGTACCCTGACGGACACTGTTTGAGACTCGAATTATTTTCTGCGCTGACTCTGACGTTTGAGACACCGTTTGCTGTGTCGTGTCTGGAAACCCAAAAGGATGAGTGGTGATCGAGGCTGCTTCACTATAATGAAATCGTCGTTAAGAATCATGGAATAAAACTGATTTTCTCATATTCAACGAGCTGGTTTCAGAATGCAAAGCAAAACACAAACAATAAATTTATGTAAATCATATTAGAGCAGCAACTTCAATGCCGAATCAGTAACTTTTGCGAAAATAGGCGCAGAGCAAATTTATAAGATTTAAAATATTCTTCTGTTGGAAACTGCTTTTGTACTTGAATGAAATAGTTTTCAATAAGTGAATGCTCTCAGTGTTGATGAATTGGGAATAACTAGAAGAAGTGGGAAGATGAGCAAATTATTAAGAATAGAAGGGGATAAACAGGAATGGCCTCAGTGAATATGCTGAAATGGAAATGAACGGGACGCGTTGCAATAAAACTGACTATTGCCAAACCAGCGAGACATTAAGCCTATTACCATGAGAAAGAAACGTCCCGTAAGAAGAACTCCAGATCGATGACGGAATGAGATGAAGGTTCGCTGAATCAGGATGGACAAAAATCATAGATAACAGAAATCTATGACGAAGTCTTGGAGGGGCCTTAATCCTACAGTGGGTTAGCGAAAGATGATGATTATGACCATAAATTTTCATTGAAATTAACGTTGAAACTGTTTTCCTCGCAGCACAAAAAATGAGTTTATAAATGCACCTCAAAATATGCAAATCTAGTCCTAAACGTCTTGAACAGTCCTTGTTTTGGTTTGTGTGGCTTCGGCATTGAATTCAATTAAACTTACTGGGCGGAGTGCGCCGAAGAACGATTAAGATAGTTACAAACCGAGTGCTAAATCCGAAATACTCGATCACTGCGTATTATAATTTTTTCACTTATGCCGGTTCTCTTTGGTAGGTCCTTGACCGTCATCATGCTTTCCGATATTTCATGGTTTGCGACACGAGGGAATGGCGGTGTATTCAGTAGAAAATAGCAACATTTCGATGAACCTCACACTGATTATCAGGGGACATCGTGTCGTACGTCATGTGCTATTTTTGTCGTGATTATAACCTCATGCATTCTGCCAATGTCAGCAATATTCGAAGTTTCTTCATCACCGTTTTACTTGGCCGCAACTGAAGCACCGGAAAGTGAACAGATTCTTTCCAAACGCAGGTCTGCCAATACCTGCCTTATCCGCGTGGCCTTACACGGTGGCCTTATGGTAGACGTATGGCATGTTTCGTTTTTCCCTCGCGAACATGTTGCATACTGGGACGTTCAATGTTCAATTCGCGAAACAAGTTCGACGATATTTTCTATACCCCCCCCCTCCCCAATGGTACCGACTTGACATATAAAATCATTAATAAACGTCAGTGTGAAGCAATAAGCCACAGTCAGCTTTATTGTGGCAAAGAGGTGCCAAGAAATAAATGTATTTCTAACGGTGCAAAAGTATGCATTCTCCTGTTACTTCTCCAGATTCACATGGCACGGTCGTATCGTCACCGTGGTCAGGCCAGAGGAGTGATACAGTTTTGCACCCATGCACTGCAGGTGGTGAAAGACCACAGAGCCTTGGCCTGTTGCCCTGCTTTAACGATTTCCCAGATTACAAGAAGCTAGGGGCGATATAACTACGCCTGATAAATCCGGTAATTTTGGGATGAGATTGGCATTCTAAAAGACGATATTTAAAATAGCATTTGCCTAATAAACTCGCTGTTCCGAGATGATGCTCAAGTATATTTGTAATAACATCAATGTATCAGCAAATGATGCATAATTCAAAACTGGTTAGGTTATGGTTGCCCTCTTCATGGGGGATGGGGTAGGAGGGGTGAGACGTAAACAGTATCAACTACAGGAAGCTATAGTATACCATACCACTCAAAAGTGGAATTCAATTTCAACTGACTGAACGAATATCGAATCATCCAAAAAAATATGCAGTAATCTATGATTCAGCGGCAATAACCAGATGGACCAAAATTGCATCATT